CAAGGCCCCCAAGAGAAGCCCAAGAAGGCCATGGGAGGCGAACAGGAGGGCCTACGTAGACCCCGTAAGGTCCCTAGAGGGCCCAAGCTCCCAACACGGCCCAAGATGGCCCCAAGACGGCTCGAGACGGCCCGAAGCCAGCTGGCCCACCAGGGCTCCAACAAAGCCCAAACGGCGTTTTCCACCAAACTGACCGGAATCCCAGGCTCGCAACCACAAATCCCGTTCGCGTGCCCCGTTGCGACTTGCTGCAACCCGCTGCAACATGCTTCGCCGTCCCCCGACGGCGCCCTCCACCTCCTCTGCCGCTCCACCACTCGTCCTCCCCCGCGTCCGCTTCCTTTCCTCGCTCTCCGAGATTCCTTCCCTCCTATCCTTCGCCATCCACCCGGCGCCCACGAGGCCTGGGTAGGGCCAGGGGCCGCCCGAACTTTCGAAGGCTTCTGAGAACCACCGCAGGGAAAGGGCCAAAATTCCAAGGCCACTTAGGAATAGCGCGAACGACCAACATAATCATGCAAAGCCTCAAGGACCAAGGTGCATGGTGCGAAGCGCCAATGCATTCTTGTGTATATACTTATATCTATACACATGCATACATATATATACAGATACATAGATAACCAGGCAAACGTACATAGTATGTATGCACTCACGTACGTACATATATACATACAAGGAAGGTCCCGGCCCCAGGGCTCTGGGCAATGCGGAGCCAGATTCGGGCACCCCAGTTCTGGTTTGATCTCTTCCAGCCCCAGACGGCGCGTCGTTGAGGCCCCCAAAGACCCCCTTACACGACTGTTGGGTTACCACATCATATGGCGGCAGGTCCCACGACCAACCTTAATGGAACTCCCGAGTCAACTTGGCAATGCCCAGCGGCAATTTGCGATGATAGATCCTCGAGCGCGACTGGAACCTAAGCGCGCGCGAAGCGCGCGTGGTTCTAGTTGAGGATGAGAAGGCGACTCCGGATATAGGCCTTTAGACTGCAGGCGTTCGGGGCCTAAAGGGCTCGTCCAGACCATCCCCAGAACACCCAGGACGCATCAACGTCCCAAGGTGATTTCAAGACGCTCTGGGACACCCCAACAGGCTTATCCAGACTGCCTCCATATGACAAAATAATTACCAGAGGTGGATCGACCTCCTACCTTGACACGTCGATTAAGGAATTGGCCGTTTTCGGTTCGTGAGGGGGCGTCGCGGCCGTCATTTTTGCGGGTCCAGGTCCGTCGGTTTTGGCCCTAGGCCGTTTTCACTAAGGGGAGGTTTACTAAGGGAGGTTTGTCCAGCGCCGAAATTAGTTCCCCATGTGTTTTCTTGTCCGAAAAAGTCCAGAGACGGGGCGAGAGGGCTCCCAGCTGGTCCTTCGCGCTCTCAAGACGCCTCCAGAGGCCTTCAAGGCAGTTCCATTGGGGTCTCCATTCTATCAAGACTCCCCCCGACGTTCAAGAGCGCCCCAAATACTTCTCCCTTGCCGCAGCCATTGGCTGCGACGGCATCTTGCGTCTCTTTCCCCTCGCAGTGTGTTTGGGTTGGGTGGGACCGCGGCACCCAGTCCGATCCTTTCACACTTACTCTGCCTGGGGCAGTTGTACATACTCTCTTCTTCTAGTTCATGAGGGTGGTGTTTCTCCTCTCTAGTTTGAACTCTGAGTCTTCTTCATCATTGGCACATGCACCCATCGCCTCGGTCCGCCAATTGGATGTGTTTTGTAAATGCCACTTGAATTCCCAGTCGGTGTTCTCCGTTTCATTGCGACCTCACCCAGTTTTACTTGCGACTTGCAAGTGGTTGGCCAATTTTTCGGTAGTCAAGCCGCGTGCGGCTGTGGGAAGGTGGCGGCCAAAAATCAAAGACGGGCCCAAGATGGAGGGTTCCAAGGCATCCCGACGACGACATTGACGAACCAAACGCAAGTTTGACGAAAGGCGCATCCACAACGATGTCCCAGCATATTGGGCCAGTTTGTTTGCCGCCAGCTTCTGTCGAACGCGCGGAGCAAGGGTCCGATAGCCATCATGGATGCCTGTGCTTCAGTTGCGCGTCGTTTGAAGAATGCTACGGGTATTATTTCCCACGTCCTACGTCGCGTATTAATGTTATTCGTCTCGTTTCCGTTTTCTGATTCCCGCCTCATCCCTCCTGTTCCATTTGACCCAGGATCATACGACGCAGCACATAGTCAAAGTCATTCAGATTCACTCGCACCTAGACCTCACCCATACTTACACCAATCATACCTATACGACCACACTTCGGGTGATCTGGAGGTTGGTGGGTGGGGGCCCACGAACGCACTGCTGGCAAATACGATGGGTGTGATGATGACGATGCTGGTGACGCGCCCTCGAGTTAGCGACGACGGGTGATGACGAGGTTGCGCTGTGATGTAATGTCACGATCGCCCCCGCTTCCTCACAACCAATGTCACAATCAGCGTCACTGTCAATGTCATGTTTGATCTTACTATCCATCCCATTCGAGCGATCTTGTCATCGATCTCGCCATCGGCTTGACCATCCGTTCCAAGGCGGGACACCCCCGGCCACCACCCGCCCACCGCCGACAGAACACCGGATGTTCTGTCGGCGGCCGGCGGGCGGTGGCCAGGGGTGGTGCAAAGTGGTGCGGTGCCAGCGCTGGAGAGGGCGATATGATCGTTGAGGTCTACAAGTACCTTACATGCGGATGTCAACCACGTTGGCTTCGCGACGACCGCATCAACCGGATGCAGGATTTTTAGGTGCGAACTCTCCCAAGCGAGGCCCGTCCGATCCGAATGGCTGCGCAGTGCCAATTCCAGGACGTCCGATGGCCAGGCGCGCGATTCTGAAAATGTCTAAATTTCGGGTACTCCTTTCCGTGTTTTCGGAATTTCCTGAATTTGTTTGCGCGATTTCGGAATTTCCGGAACGTCCTTTCGGAATTTTTGGAATGCTGGTTTGTACGCGAAACAAGATTTAAGTATTTCGGAATTTCTGGAATAATGTTTTTCGGCGATTCGGAATTTCAGGAATCATTGTGTTCGTGTTTCAGAATTTCCGGAATCGCTTTGCGATTCGATATATCGGGGGTCGCGAGATTGGCGATCGGACAATCTGGGGTTGGCATTTGCGTCTTTGTTCAAATTGGATTGCGGTCGTCGGGGAGATGTGGAATCAGGTCCCGCGTTGTCCGACGCGATCGTTGCAAGGCCGACATGGTTGCTATCCGCATGTAAGGCATTTGCAGATAGCTTCGATTGTATCGCCATGTCCAGCGCTGTCACTGCCCCCCTTTACACCACACCCCTAATCCCTCTTCACAACACCAACGGGACACCACCAGGACACCCACGGGATACCTCAAGGACACAACGGCGGGACACCCCGGGGCCACTGCTCTTGCCCACCGGGGGCGAAGGCGCGGTCCGCTGCATCCGAATCGCCCCAGCGACGGTGGGGTCATTCCTGTCGCGCGCCCACGCAGCATCGCCTCGACCGCACGCACGACACGAACACGAAATCGTTACCGATTTCCTGGTGGGTGGCTCTCCGTTCCACTGCGATCTCACCTCCCAATCTCCGATCTTGATGCGCGCCACAAGCTGGTGGCGACCGCGCGGTACTTTCATAAAATTTGGCCGAGGTCTGTACACATCGTTCATTTCTTAGTATTCGAAAGTTCTTTGACGATTTGGGGGGCCAAGATCCTTTCATTTCTAATTGTTCTATCCTGGGCCTCTTCCTGGCCACTAGGGGGCCAGGAACCAATAGAAACGAGCACAATTGGAAATGAGCACGATTAGAAATGAACGACGTGTAGTCTCTCAAGCGAGAACCCTGCACCTGCGGCACAGCGCTAGGGAGTATGTTTCTTGCGTAGCGATGGCGTTTCTTGCGTAGCGATGGTGATGACCATGACTCCCTGCTTCAACTTCGCATGTGTGGCGATCTTCCAGTGCAGCTCGGCACCTTTGGAGCAATCGCGAGAAGCTAGGTCTTCCACGGCACAGTCTTCTTTTGCCCGGTACCCCCTCCAAGCCATCTGCAGCCATCGCTTCTGCAGCCATCGCTGTACAGCTGATGACGAAGAGCATATCGCTCCGCACTCGCACGACTCTTGCTTGAGGCCGTTTTCCTAAGCAGTGGCGGGAACCTCCGCCTCCGCTTCCGCCTCCTCCTCCTCCTCCTCCTGCTCCTCCTCCCCCCTCCTCCCTCCTCCCCCTTCCCTCCTCCCTCCTCCCTCCTCCCTCCTCCTCGTTCCGTTTGTGCAGCTTTCCTCCTTCCCTCGTCGTTGTCCTCTTCCTCTCCTTCCGCCCGCTCGCCTGCCGAGTTGTTGTTTCTCCGCCGTCGGTCTGCGACCACTTGGGTTGTTGCCACTGGAGGGTGTTCGCCAACCGCCGTCCGAGGCCTCAAGCGCACCTGGGGCATCAGAGATCAAACACAACAACAACAACAACAACAACAACAACAACAACACCAACAACAGCAACAGCAACAACAACCCCAACAACAGCAACAACAACAACAACAGCAACACCGACAACGACAACGACAACAACAATAATTTTAAGACTGTTCGCCCTTATATGCTCGAGTGTCCAATAACGCGTACTTCCCAAATCCTCGATACCCGCCCTCTTCGTCGTCGATCGAACCCCTTTTGGGGGGTATACCTTTCTTCCCTGCAGGCCGGGCCCCGGCAAGCGGCGGGGCGGCCGCGGACCGTCGGCCTGGCCAGCGGCAGCGCTGATCGGTGGGGCGGCCGCGGACCGTCGACCCGACCCCAAGAGGGACGGACAGGGGACCGACCACGACGACGACGACGACGACGACGACGACGACGTCGAAGACGATCCGTAGCCATTTTGGCTCAAGGCCATGGCGATCCCGACGACCGCGAGTCCATCGGGCGCCGTTGAGCGCGAGGGACGCCGCGCTTTGGGCCAGCTTCTTGTGTCTTTCTTTCGAGGCGTGGTCGGCAAGCGGTGTGCGCGAGGCCAGCAGCCATGTCGGGCGACGGCGCAGGAGCGCCACCGCCGTGGAGGCGCAGGGCGTACTGGGTCTGTCCGTGCAAGGAGTGGAACTGGTGCGACAAGAGGGCGACCTGCAAGTCCTGTGGGAAGGAGGCGCCAGCGTGGGCGAAGCGCCAGCGTTCAGCGCCCCAGCCCCAGGCCGACGGGGAGGGCTTCGTCCTGCAGCCCAGGGGTCGCTCGCATCAGCGCGCTGCGCGCCGAGCTGGCGAGGCCTCCAGGGCCGCCTCCGCTGCCAGCACCGCCCCGAGCAGCGCACCCAACAGCAGGGTGCGGCCGCGGGGCGGAACCAAGCCCCCCCCGTGGCGTGAGGAGCGCGAGGAGCAGCCAGAGGAGCCCGCTTCGAGCCTGGAGCGCAGGCTTGAGGGAGCCCAGGCGCGCGTCTCCAGCCTCCGCGAGGCCGTCGCCATGGGCGGGACCAGCGAGGCTTTCCAGCGAGAGGCCAGGGCGGCCCTCCTCGCAGCGGAGCGCGCTGCTGAGAGGGCCGAGGCGGAGCTCCGTGAGGCCCAGCAGCTCGGGAGGCCCCCCCATGCTGTCCTCCACGGGGGTGCCAACGCTATGCAGAAGGTCGAGAAGCAGATCACCGCCACCAGGGCCAAACGCGACCAGGCCGTGCAGCGAGCGGAGGCCCTCAGGGGGGAGATCGCGGCGAAGCAGGAGGAGCTGGCCGAGGTCGAGTCTGCGGTCGAGGACTTCAACGGTCAGCTCGGCAAGCTCGAGGAGTCGAAGGCGCAGACGGTCCAGCAGGCCCTCCAGCGGGCCATCGAGGTGTGCGGCGGCAAGCGTCCCCTCGAGACCGCAGTCGGGGGCCTCGTCATGCAGGTCAACCAGTTGGGCGAGATGCTTGGCCGTAGCTCGGAAGGCGTTGCACCCGGGCTCCTGGAGATCATGGACATCATCACCACGCAGAGCGCCGCCATCTCGGACATGCTCCGCCCTGCTGCGCCTGCCGCCTCTGCTGCCCGCTGGGCCGACGGCCTCGGCGGGGACGGGCTCGCCGTCGACGTCGACGAGGAAGGGCCCCCTGCCCCAGCCCCTGGGGCCACCGGCCCCGTGGAGCCGCAGGCGCCAGCGGAGGCCGCAGGCCAGCAGGTGCGGCCAGGCCCGCCCACCCAGAGGGCGTGCCCCGCAGTTGGGCCCTACGGGCCAGCTGCCGCCCGCGGACAGTCGGGCGCAGCGCTCGGCGCTTGGCCCCAGCCTGGCCAGGCCGAGCGTAAGATCCTGGTGGGCGCCAGGGACGAGCACGAGGACTGCCAGGCCGTGGCCACCCTGGCGGCTCCTGGGGGCTACGCTCCTCTGGGCCCTTCTCGCTCCTAGCAGCTCTGCAGCGGCGACAGCCTGGGGCCCTGTGCCGCCGCCCCCGCCGTCTGACTGGCCGACCTTGCAGCGGTCGCGAGGAGGGCCACGGCGGGAGGGAGGCCTCGCTCCTGGGCCGAGGTGCAGTCGGGACCGCCGCGGCGTCCCCCCGACGGCCTCGAGCGGGCAGACGGCGGGGGGATTCAGCCCTCCGACGTCGCAGCCGTCTGCCCCGTCCCAACGGAGCAGAGGGGCCTCCGCTGGGTTCACTCCAGCCGCCCTGCAGGCGCGAGTGAGCGGGGCCGAGCCAGCTGGCGAGAAGGCCGCCGTGCAGCTCCGTGCAGGCTTCGACGTGCTGGGCCTCAACGGCAACACGTGGGACCGCGCCATGGAGGTGCTCGAGGCCTACATTGCGCGGAAGGACGAGCGCCCGCACCTGGTCACGGTCCAGGAGGTCCGCCTCGGGCCTCGCCAGCTGGAGAACGCACGCCGCCGTGCTCGCGGCTTGGGATACGCGGCCTTCTTGCATGCGGCTGCGCCCACTGGGCAGGCGGCCCTTGCTCATTCGGGAGGCGTCGGGGTGCTGGTCCGCGATGACCTCCAGGCGAGGGAGGCGCAGTGGCGAGTGCCAGGGGACTTCAGGCACCGCATGGTCGCAGTCAGGGTAGCATCGGCCTCGGGCTTGCAGTTTCTGGCGTGCTCCTTGTACCTGCAGGACGGCCTCGGGCCCAAAGGGGTCAACCTGGACATCATCGGCGGCCTGGGGGACCTGGTGCTGACCGAGGGGCTCCCGTGGCTCGTGCAAGGCGACTTCAACATGGAGCCTGGGACCCTCTACGAGCTCGGCTGGCCAGCCCTCCAGCGAGGTGCCTACCTTGGGCCAGCAGGGCCCACGTGCATGGCGTCTGGCACTGAGCGGGTGTACGACTGGTTCGCGAGCTCGTTCTGCCTCTCCCACGGGGTTGCCAGCACCGCTGTGCTGGACGGCTACGCATTGCACCCGCACAGGCCAGTCCTACTGCGGCTGCAGGACCTGCGGCCAGACGCGCTGGTGCAGGTCCTAGTGAGACCTGGCCGCTTCCCCGACGTGGAGGCCGCCAACTGCAGGGCCCACGAGGATGCCGTTGTGCAGGTGTTTCGGCGCAGCGGTCGAGGGCAGTGGCAGGCTGAGCCGTGCACCTGGAGCTGGGAGGCAGGCGTTCTGCCCCACGACCTCCCTGCTGCGGTGTGCGAGTGGGTCGAGGCGGTCGAGGGCACGTTGGTCGGCATCCACGACATCCAGCCCGACGCACACAAGCGCTTCCTGGGTCGTGCCGCAGGGCCGAGGCGCGCCCTGAGGCCGATGAGCGCGGTCGCGAAGCGTGAGTACCGCTTCCGCCACTCCGAGCTGACCCATGCCATTCGGCAGGCCCTTGATCTGGCCCTGCAGAGGCTGGCCGCCGACAGGAGTGGGAGGTGGCGGCTGTCGCACGAGAGCTGGTACTCGCGCGAGGCGGAGCGCATCTCGGGCCTCCTGGGGATCGCCTCGGCCGCGGCCCGCGAGGAGGAGGAGGCGGAGCAGCTCGACTTCGACACCAGCGGGTGGAACGACCTTGTCGGCCATGCAGGAGTCCTCGGCCACGTCGGCGCCATCGCGGAGCTCCAGCGACGGCTCTACAGCTCGCAGCGGCGCGACGGGGGCATCAGCTCCGCGCGGTGGCGAGCGTGGGCCAAGGAGGCCGTCCAGCGAGGAGGAAGATTGGCACTCCGCTTTGCCAGAGCGGTCCCTCCTCCTCAGGTCGTCGACCCCGACACGGGCATGCCGCTGGCAGGGATGATCGCTATTGGTCAGCTCGAGGCCAACTGGCAGGCCCTCTGGCAGCAGGAAGGGTTCAAGGGAGGAGCCGACGTCTGCACCTGGGACGTCCAGGACTGGACCCTGCCTCCCATCACGCTCGACATGTTCCAGGCGACGTGCCGCCGCTATTCCCCTTCTGCAGGGCTCGGAGCGGACCAGCTACACCCTAGACAGCTGCTGATCCTGCCGAGTGCCCTCCAGCTCCGCTGCCTGGACCTCCTTGCGGCGTACGAGGAGCGGCCGCAGGCGCTGGGGGCTTCCGCGACAATGATCGTGTTCATCCCGAAGCTGGATGGGGGCGTCCGCCCCATCGCCCTCATCCCGCTTCTCCTCCGAGTCTGGAGTCGTGTTCGGCAGCCCGTTTGTGCGCAGTGGGAGTCCACCCACAACTTCCACTTCTTCTGGGGCAGGGAGGGCAAGGGCTGCGAGAAGGCGGGCTGGATGCACAACCTGCTCTCATCGGCGGCCCGCCACGCCGGCTTCGAGGCTGGCAGCCTCTTCCTGGACATCGTGAAGTTCTACGAGAATTTGCGGCATGACGTGCTCTGGAGCTGCGCCATCGAGCACAATTTCAATCTTCGGTTGCTGAGAGGGCTGTTGGCCATGTATCAAGCCCCTCGCTTCATCTGTTTCGCGGGCCTGGTCTCCGACGGCTTTTGCTCCCAAGGCACCGTCCTTGCGGGCTGTGCGTGTGCTACGACGCTGGCCAAGCTTCCGCTCCTCGGACCCCTTCGGGCCGTGTCCTCTGGAGGCCGCCTGCTCGTCATGGGCAGGAACGTCGTCGACGACGTGGCCCTGCAGGCGCTGGGGACGCGCCGCCTTGTCGTGGAGCAGCTAGGAGGTGCGGGGGCCGAGATGGCCCGACAGCTCGGCGCCATGCACCTCCCTCTCAGCGCCAAGAAGTCCGTTTTCCTCGCGTCCTGCTCTGGCCTCGCCCAGGAGCTTGGCGAGTACTGGGGGGCGCACGGCATCAAGTTCGAGAGGGTGCATCAAGCCCGCAACTTGGGCACTGACGCGAGTATCACGATGAGAGGAGTCCGTGAGGGGCGAGGGCGGGCGCATGATGCGCTCCAGCGGGCGCGGCGCCTACGTTGCCTACGTGCTGCAGGAGTCGAGGTGGACCTGATCCACAAGGCTGGGCCTACTTCCAGTATGGTCTGGGGACGGACGGTTACTGGCGTGGCAGACGGAGAGTTGCACAGTTGGCGTGTCACCGCGTGCCGCAGCGCTGGGCGGCTTCCCCGCGGCGCAGCCCTTGGCCTCAGACTGCGTTGCGCAGAGCTCCGCAGGGGCCGCGACCTGGACCCCTTCGTGCTGATCACGGACCGCTCGCTCCAGATGCTGGCAGGGCTCTTGCACTCGGGCGAGCTCTCCCTGCCGATGCTCAGGGCCGAGCTCGAGGCGGCGGCGTCGCGGCATGCGACAGCGACGGCGCCCTGGGTGCACTGCAGTTCCCCCATCGATGCAGCGGTCCTCACCCTTGGCAGGATCGGCTGGTACTTCAGGTCCGAGCGGTGCCTCATCACGGACGTCGGGGACGAGCTGGACCTGACGTTGCTGGGGCCGCGCGAGCTCGGCATCGAGGCTGGCCTTGGAGCGAGGCGCGCCTCGGACAGGCATGAGATGCTGAAGCTGGCCTACTCCTCGTCTGTGCAGGGCTCTCTCTTCTGGGACGCCTTCAGGGAGCTCATCGGGCCAAGAGGGAAGTTCAACGAGCGCGAGAGGAACGGGCTGGTGGCTTACCTCACGAACGCGCACTGGCCGCAGGTGAGGCTCTGCAGCGCCCGCGAGAGCAGCCACGCCAGCTGCAGGTGCTGCGGAGCAGCTCGGGGCACCCTTTGGCACAGGTTGTTCGAGTGCCCCATGCTTGCGGCCCAGCGGCGGGACTCGGTCTCACCAGCGCTGATGAGGAGCGCTGTGCGGGTCCGCGCCCAGGGAGAGGCAGCAGGGGAGGACTTCGCTAGGTGTTGGCTGCCAGCGCCGCCTCCTCCTCAAGGGCCTCGCACGGACGCCATGAGTGTCTGGTGGATACGCAGGCCTCCCGACGACAGGCTCAATGGCAAGTTGTACTTGGACGGCTCGGCGGTCGACCCGCAGTTCGGCTCCCTGAGGCGCGCGGGCTGGGCGATTGCTCAGTGCGACGACGACGGCAACCTCATCGCGGGCGTCTACGGGACCGTCAGGAGGGACCTCTGCCCGCAGCAGACCGCCCGCGACGGGGAGGACTTCGCGGTCTGGATGTTGGTGAACTACGCGGGCCCTGCAGTCGAGGAGGTCAACATCGACTGCAATGGCACGGTCGAGTGCCTGCGCAGGGGGCTGGCCTATGCGACGGGCCCGACGAAGGTCAACGCCCACCTCTGGAGCAGGAGCCTCGCCGCCTTCGAGCCTGGCAGCTTCAGGGTGAACAAGGTGCCCGCCCACTGCAGCTGGCAGGCGGTGCTCGACGGGCGCCTCACGGAGGCGCAGAGGCGCGGCAACCAGCACGCCGACCGCCTCGCCAAGCTGGGAGCTCGGCTGCACGCTGCCGACGCCCAGACCGTGGGCGAGCACCGTGCCCTGGCTGGTTTCGTCCAGGAGCTGGCCCGGTGGGTGGGCCAGGCGGCCGTCATCTGGCAGGACATCGCGGAGAAGGACAGTGACGGGTTCCTCGAGTCCGACGAGAGGCAGCGGGTGAGGTTCGCCGACCTTGAGGAGCGAGCCGAGCCTCCCTCTGCAGGCAGGCCGACGGCTCAGCAGCCGCGCGTGGAGAGCGCGCGCTCGGTGGCCAGTGCCGTCGGCCTCTCCATCACCACGGCTGGCATCTGCTACCTCGGCCACTCCCTGGCGTACGCTTGCTGCGACGTGGGCGAGGGGCCCCAGGAGCTGGTGGCCTGCAGCAGGTGTGGGGCCTACATGGTCCTCGGCGGCCGCTCTGGAGGACGCCCAAAGCTCAAGGAGCCATGCATCGGCGAGAGGGCCACTGGGCAGCGCAGCCAGCGCCGCCTCTGGGCCCGAGGGCTGCACCCAGGCGGGCGGCCTCGCGGAGGAGACCAGCAGCGCAGGGAGAAAGGTGCCGAGATCCCCGCGCTGCGGCTGCAGGGCCCCTTGCCCCCATCGGCCCAGGAGGCCTTCCTGGCCTGGCTGGGCCTCGAGGGCGAGGCGGGGCCGCCGCCAGCAGGCGGCAGCGCGGCGGCAGCGCCAGGAGGCGCAGGCAGCCGCGAGCAGGAGGCGTCGGCGCGGCCGACAGCACCTGCGCGGCAGGTGGTGGCGGGCGGCGGCCCGCGGGCCGCCCTGCTGGCCGCGTACGGCATGGACGAGCAGGGCCTCGCCGAGCGGGTGCTGGCCGCCAACTCCGCCGTGGAGGACCGCCGCGTCCGCCCGCGGCGCGGCCGCGGCCTGAGCCCCGTCGGCGAGGGCTTGGGCGAGTAGCCTCGCCTGGAGTCGCCTTCATGGCCCCGCGAATCGAATCGAATCGACGTCGAAGACGATGGCGACGACGACGACGACGTCGACAACGAGCGAAAGCGACAGCGAGAGAGAACGACAGCAGGGCCACGAAGGGCACGAATTAGGCCACGAAGGGCGACAGCGGGGACACGAAGGGAATACGTATGGGGCCACGAAGAGCGCGAACGAGCGGGGGCCACGAAGTGCAGATCATGCGGGGCCACAGAAGGCAACTATGGGGCCACTGAGGGTAGGAACTGGGCCACGTAGGACAGTGAGTGGGGACAAATGGCGACAGCGGGGCCACGACGGGCATGCACATGGGGCCACAACGGGCGCGACTCCTGGGTGTTTGGGTGTCGGGAGCGCGGCGCTTGGGCAAATTGCAGGAAATTCCAACGCAAACAAGTCTCCAGCGAGAGCGCGACTCCAGAGCGCCGGGAGAGCGATTCCTCAATATATTGTAAGGAAGTCCCAAGCGAGAGCGCGATTCCTGAATAAAATGCGAGGAAGTCTGGGGCGGGAGCGGGGGTCATGGCTAAATTGTAAGGCGCTCTCAGGGGGGAGCCGTTGGGGGCCAGGGGCCCAGTTTGAGCATCAAGAATTTCCCTGTAAAAAACAGGGTGCGAGCGTCGAAGAGCACATTTTGATTGAAAAAACAGTATGAACCGGTGGGGGGGATCAACAATAATTTTTCTTTCGGAAAGCAGAATCCAACAACGACAACAACAGCATCAACAACAACAAAACACAGCTGATGACGAAGAGCTTGATGGTGAACGGTTCGCTCTGCAGGCTCTTCAGGCTTCTCGGCTCTTCGGGTTCCGCGCTCTTCGGGTTCTTCGGGCTCTTCGGGTTCCTCGTCGGTGCACCGGACGCTCGCGCCCGTGTGCGGGGCAGAGCACGCGAAGCGAGGCGCCCAGCAGGGGAGCGCCCCGAGCGACCCGCCGCTTCACGGGGCGCCCGCGGGGCGGCCCTGCAAGTCCTCGGGGCGCCGACCCGGCCCGGCCTCGGGGCGCCCACGACGGGCACGCGCGGGCGCCCGCCGGGGGCGAGGACCCCGGGGGAGCCCACCGGACGGGTCCAGGACGAGGCTCCAGTGCATCCTCCTCCTCCTCCTCCTCCTCCTCCTCCTCCTCCTCCTCCACCACCACCTCCACCACCTCCCCCTCCTCCTCCTCCACGACGGGCACGCGGGCGCCCGCCGGGGGCGAGGACCCCGGGGGAGCCCACCGGACGGGTCCAGGGTCCAGGACGAGGCTGCAGTGCCTCTTTGATGGGGTCGGAGTTGGAGGGGTTTCTCTCCGAAGGGCTTAGGCGACCCGTCCTCCTCCTCCTCCTCCTCCTTCTCCTCCTCCTCCTCCACCTCCTCCTCCACCACCTCCTCCTCCTCCTCCGTAGCCATTTTGGCTCAGCGAGCCGCGCTTCGGGAGGCCCTCGTGCGCGCCGCGGACGCCCGCGTCGCGGCGCGCAAGCGGCCGCGAGCGATGGAGGCCCGGGTGTGGGCTGCTGCCAGTGCGAGGACGCTGGCCCGGAGGCTCCGCCGGGAGAGGCGGTCGGCGCTGCTGGTGTGAACTGGTGACTTGCGTTGACTTGTAAGGTAGTTGTAACGTAGTTGTAAGGTAGTTGCAACGTAGTTGCAAGTCAGATGACTGCTTACACATTCTCATAACCAGCATTAGTGCCTTAGCAACTCGCATAACATTTTCAAAGTTTGGGTGCATTTATCCAGAGTTACCTCAACTTACAAGTCGGCGGGGGCGGGGGGGGGGATGGTGAAGTGCAATCATGTAAAAGCGGATTTTCAGTCATGTTAAAAAGCGCGCGCGGTTATGTTGGACAACAAGAAGCAATTTCGCTGGCCATATTTCTCTTACCGCGACCCTCGGCACTTGTTTTTTCCGATATTGCCAATCATTCGCGGAAGACGTTTCAGTATTCTACACTTTGTCATGCGGGTCGACAATCAGCTGCATTGAAATGCATCGCTTAGAGGATATTGTGCCAAATTGGCAGGCATACGTTTGGAACGCACCTAGCGCGCGCGAAGTGCACCTATCCGACGCGAGGATATCCGAGCACTGCAACAGCGCCCGTGTATACCAACACTTGGCATGCAACATGTTGCACTATGTAGATTTGCACACGACGCAGCCTGGGCAGAGGGATTCCCGATATGGGCGCAATGAATTTACAAGCGGTTTCGGCCACGTCGACAATCCATGTTGCGCGTGTTCTTTGATGTGAGATGCGTTTCGGGCTCGAGCTGCGTGCGTGCGAGGAAGATATTGTTATCGTGGGTTTATATTACACACAGAATGCAGACTTTGTATTCTCGACGCTTTGCGTATATCCCCACCATCCCATCCAGAAATTTTGCCCAGGCGAGTTGAGGTGATGAGGGAAGTGTGGGAAAAAAGAGGGGACAGCCAAACGGTTCGAAGGAGGATTATGATAAGGATGACGACGGATGGATGGATGATGGATGAGGGAGAAGGATGCGAAATCGTGTAGAAAGAGGAGGAGGAGGAGGAGGAGGGCAAAGAGAAATGATAGCGAGCAAAAGGGAGAGTGGCAATCTTGCATATCATATGCGGAATACGTTTCATTATTATGCACTGTGTCATGTGGGTCGACAATCAGCTGCATTGAAATGCATCGCTTTGAGGATAGTTGTGCCATAGTGGCAGGCATACGTTCCGAACGCACCTAGCGCGCGTGAAGCGCACCTATCTGACGCGATGATTTCCGACCATCGCAACAGCGCCCATGTACACCAACACTTGGCATGCAATACGTTGCACCATGTAAATTTGCAAATGGTGCAGCCTGGGCAGAGGGATTTCCGATATGGGTGCAATGAATTTGCAGGTGGTTTCCACCACGTCGACATTCCATGTTGCGCGTGTTCTTTGCTTTGCATAGAGGCGTTTCGGGCTCGAGCTGTGTTCGTGCGAGGACGATATTGTTGTCGTTGATTTATATTGCACACAATGCAGAATTTGTATTGTTGACGCTTTGCGTGTATCCCCACCATGCCCATCCAGAAACTACGCCCAGGCGAGTTGAGGTGATGAGGGAAGGGTAGGAACAAAGAGGGTACAGCCAAACGGTTCGAAGGATGGGGCAGCTTGGAAGCCATATTGAGCGATATTGCGCTATATCGGGCCATTTGAAGCCGCCATGGGCCCTGTGAGGCCGTCTTGGAGCCATCTTGGGCGACGCGCTACCCTCTGACACATCGTGGGGCGCCCCGTCCAGGTCCATGTATATGAGGGAGAGTGGCAAACCCATCCCCGAAGGGGAAGAAGGGGTTTGGAAAAGGGATCTCCCATGACCTTTACGGCCCACAGAGGGCTGCTGGGATTCTGCAGAGTTGAACGATTACATCATGGGCCGCATCAAGATGCATCGCGATGGCCTGCTGGCTCCGATCACCGCTTGGAAGGATTGCATCGATCGGCTTATTGCGGACAAGGTGGCCAACAAGGTCATTTGCCTGCCTGAGGAGTTCCTCATTCACCCTTCGAACCGCTCGGGGCTTGGCGTCAATGCATACAACGTGCACCGCGTCGGCGCGATGCTCAAGCAGATCGGCGTGGACCCTGCAGAGCTCGAGAAGGGTGTGGCTTTCGAGCGCATGCCCATGGATCCGATGAGGTCCAGCCAGGTGGCTTTCAATGAGAAGCTCATTTCTGCCAGCAAGGGCATGTTGGCGCCAGCGTCGGGCAGCGAGCGGTTCCTCTCTGTTGGCACAGGCCACACAACGCAGTTTTTCAAGGCCGCGAAGTTCGGGTGCGCAACTTCGGAGCCGAGTTTGGCTGATTCGGCGTCGGGCGGCAAGTTGAACGCCGAGGGTTTGTGCAGGGACCCGCGTTTCAAGAATGCCATCACCAAGGGGTGGCTCTGGACAATTGTGCCGTGGCAGGCAGAGGTCACATGGCCGCACCTTCCAGACTTGGCGCAGCGTGCTCTGCATGCGAGCAACAACGTTGCTAGCTTGATGTCCGAGCTCGAGGTGTGCGTGAGCATTAGCGAGTTTGCCGAGCTTATGCCAGCGGGTTCTTCATTCAGCTCGTGCGTGGAGGCAGTCAAGATGAACCAGCCCCCGTGCCAGGCAGGCAGCTCGCAACATGCTTCGTCTGACATTCCCGCCAATGCGCCAGCATCGCCCTGATGCGGGCGCATTGCGCGCGGCGCAGGCGCGCGCGCCCGCAGCATGAAATGCACATTTTGTTTATATAGTTGTACATGCACATGTACTGATACATGTATATACATATACTTTCGATTGTTTACATACATAAAAATGTGTTTATATACATGTACGTATACACGCATATTGCGTGTATGTAATTTTCATGTTATCCATACACATGTATGTATGTATGTATGCACATAATTATACATGTATGCTTACCTGTACAGAGATTTCAGATGTACACGTCTACACGTTGTTCTGGTTCGTTATGTGCGCTGCGAGGGGGCGGGCGCGCCTGCGCCACGCAGGGCATTCAGGGGTTTGCATCTCTGCCGACAGGGTTACATCGAGAAGATTGGCAAGCTTGCTACGCACTGCGGCGGCGGGAAGGGCGTGCCCCTCGTGCGGTTCATGGACCGTTTTGGCAAGACGTATGGTGCGAACAAAAAGCTCGGCGAGGATTTCATTACTGCAGTCGTTGACCTGCATCTCAGTGACCTCGAGCCGTGCA